CGCAAGCAGAAAGATGTTGTCTGCCGCGGCTGGGTCTTGAACCCGCGACCTTCGAATTACTAGATCGACGCTCTACCAACTGAGCTACACGGTCAGATATCCCCTCGTTGCCTCAAAATAATCTATACTTATTGCTACTCAAGTTTCACGCCTTATTCAAGACGATCTTCGGGCAATTATTTCAGTTTGTGTTTGATTCGTCAACATCAACGGTCGGTCACTGACGCCACAGAGTAGATACATATACAGAGTTATAACTAGTGTACCCACTTTTGTTTTGCGCATGCTCGGCAAGTTTAGTGATGCATGCATCTGATTGGATGATGACCTGATGACGCAATGACGACTCATTTTAACTGCTCCAAAGACGACTAACTGATCATTTTTTGCCTGGTCGCCCCCCAAAAAGTGGGTACATGAAAACGTAAGCTTCCACAGTGTTTACAACGGTCAGTAACAGCACAGAGTAGAGACATACAGAGATGTAACTGACCGTTGTAAACACTGTGGAAGCTTACGTTTTCATGTACCCACTTTTTTTCAGGTGACCGGCCAAAAAATGATCAACTGCGCGTGCTCAGCAAGTTTAAAGTAAGTCGTCATCCAATCAGATGCATGCATCTAGTAACTTGCCGAGCATGCGCACAAAAAAGGTGGGTACACTAGTTACGTCTATGTATGTCTCTACTCTGTGGTAACAGCTCTGTACGTCTCTACTCTGTGCTGATGCGGAGGTTTGTCTTGCATCATCGATTTCCAATATACATTTTGAACAAATATTGCATATTTCTGTTGTACATTTCCCGTTTTTCCCTATTAACAGGTATCCACTATACATTTGACTATTTTATATTTGAATATTGACATCACTCAGCATATTTGACCACAAAGAACACTAAAATTTATATAAGGAATTCAGCTAAACAAAATGAGAAAGGGTATATCCATTATAATATGAATATCAGAGTACAGTAAACTGAACTAATAAAAATGTCCCCAGTTATCTTTTACATTGTGCGTAACCATATGATCTTCAAGTTCACTGAGAATGCCAAACCCAAGACCACAGAGAGAACAGACAAATCCAGTCACTTCGTCTGACTCTGTTTCTTGGCATTCAGCACATTGAGAAGTTGCATTATCATCTTGGTTGAGTTGAGTAAATTTCCTCTTGCAAATATCACATTCATACTTCAGTGTGTCGGTGATATGTATTCTCTTTTTATGTTTTTCCAAGCTTATTACTTTGAAAAATCTTTTCTTACAAACATCACATTCATAAGGTTTATTTTCAGCATGGGTTTTTTTATGCCGTGCTAAATTGCTTGACCTAGCAAACCTATTCTTGCAGACATTGCATTCATAAGGTTTGTCTCCAGTGTGTATTCTTTTATGTTCTTCTAAAGCACTTGATACTAAGAATCTCTTCTTACAAACATCACATTCATAAGGCTTTTCTCCATTATGCCTTCTTTTATGTTTCACCAAATCAGAGGCATAAAAAAATCTCTTCTTACAAACATCACATTCACAATGTTTTTCTTCTGGTCTACTATGCAGTCTCTTTTCATGTCTTTCCAAGCCTATCACTTCAAAAAACCTTTTCTTACAAACGTCACATTCATGAGGTCTGTCACCTGTTCTGTGTATACTATGCATTCTTCTTTTATGTCCTTCTAATGTTTTCAGTTTGAAAAACGTTTTCTTACAAACATCACATTTGTGAGGTTTATTTTCAGCATGAGTTCTTTTATGCCTTGCTAATTTCCTTGTGCTAGCAAACCTTTCCTTGCAGTCACCGCATTCATAAGGTTTCTCTCCAGTATGTGTTCTTTTATGTTCTGCCAAAGCGCTTGATATTAAAAATCTCTTCTTGCAAACATCACATTCATAAGGCTTTTCTCCAGTATGCCTTCTTTTATGTATCACCAAAGAAAAGGCATAAGAAAATCTCTTCTTACAAACATCACATTCATAAGGCTTGTCTCCAGTGTGTGTTCGTTTATGTTTTACTACAGTATCAGGTGCTGTAAATCTTTTCTTGCAAATATCACATTCATAAGGTTTTTCTCCAGTATGTGTTCTTTTATGTCTTTTTAAGTCATTTGATTGTATAAACCGTTTGTTGCAAACATCACATTCATGAGGTTTTTCTCCAGTGTGTGTTCGTTTATGTCTAGCAAGATGGTCTGAACCTGCAAATGTCGTGTTGCAAATGTCACATTCATAAGGTTTTTCTCCGGTATGGATTCTCTTATGTTTCACCAAACTGCTGGAAAATGCAAATGCTTTCCTGCACACATCACATTCATAAGGTTTCTCTCCAGTATGTGTTCTTTTATGTTTTATTAAATAATTAGAGTCTACAAACTTTTTCTTGCAAATATCACATTCATATAAAGGTTTGCGACGTTTGTCTCCAGTGTCTGTGTGTGTTCTCTTGTGCTTTGTTAAATAACTTGAGTCGGCATATCTCTTCTTACAAACATCACATTCATAAGGTTTTTCACCAGTGTGTGTTCTCTTATGTCGTTTTAAGTCGTTTGATTTCCAAAATCCTTTCTTGCAAACGTCACATTCATGAGGTTTGTGTTTGTTATGTGTTCCTGTCATATCATTTGCTATATTTGACGACTTTTCCATTGAAAATCCCTTGTTATAAATTCACAATCGAATATATACCACTCAAGCTGACAAAAATAATAAACGTTAACGATTTTAAGACTCTTTTAAGTTTCGTTTTTAATAATACAGTTTCAGATATGTAGAATTGCACACCGCGGCCGCCATATTGAATTTAAGCGCGCCGGAGTCTGGGTTCTAATTTACACTTAAGGAGGCTCCCTACAGTTTCCAATATATATCAAGGTCAGTTTAAAAATCTAAAAAAAATATTTTTTGCACAAGCCATTGTTTCCTCTTATATAAAAAAGTAATCTTAACCCACAATCGCTACTCTTCATGTCACCATGACAACATGACGTCACCATCCATATGGCCTATATCAACCAAAAAAGCCGTCTTAGCGGACAAATAACCACGATGACCTACCTTTTTATTACAGAAGTTTTGAATCTTTTTTGAAAGTTATTTGAAAATCGCCAGTGTAGTTTTGGAGAAACTGAATTTCAGCCTTTAAAGATTGCATTTTAGCCTTTGGCGGAAATTCATTTTCTCGAAAACTACACTGGCGATTTTCAAATAACTTTCCAAAAAGATTCAAAAATTCATAACAATGTATTTTCTGCAATAAAAAAGGTAGGTCACCGTGGTTATTTGTCCGCTAAGACAGCTTTTTGTTGATATAGGCCATATAGATGGTGATGTCATGTTGTCATGGTAACATGAAGAGTAGCGATTGTGGGTTAAAATTACTTTTTTTATATAAGAGGAACAATGGCTTGTGGAAAAAATTAGTTTTTTTTAGATTCAAATAGCTTTTAGGGACCGGTCATTATTTATGGAAGGGGGGGGAGGGGAATTTTTTCTTTTCTAAATTTTTAAAATTGAAAGCCCCCCCCCTAAAAGAGCAGAAATTTAATGATGACCCCCCCTGCATATTTGAATATTTTTCTTTGACCCCCCCCCCATTTCTCTTTTACTCGTCAAATGGGGATACCCAGGCGTTATAGTGTTAATTATTAAATAAGAATATGGAACTGGCAAGATATTAACGTCGACCAAAAATATATTAGCAGAAAATTATAATTAAAAGAGGAGTATTTTTATATGTAACACTAAAATCAGGTTTCCATTTGGTCTGGGCGATTGTAACCATGTTTAAGGCTGCAACTAGACTTGATGGTACGAAGTATTGCCATAGCAGCTGCGCAGCAACAATGAGAGCAACAATCAGTAATATTAGCAGCAAAAAGAGATAGTTTAGCAATGGCAATTCTGCCAAGGCATACCTGCGAAATACAATGTATAGTGGTCTATACATCCTATTTTATGTGAGATTAAAAATTATATAAAATAAAATGACATATACTAGCTACCAGATAAAATCCTTTAGAATGAACAATTGGGTGGGGAAAAGATATCGAAGCGCAAAACTTTAACTTGCTGCAGCTAGGCCACAGTATAGGAAAAGTACAGTAGGGCCACTCAGCATAAAAAAGTGTCTACATTGTTTACTGGCTGCCAACCTAATTTAAATATTGGCAGCCAGTAAACGGCAGCAGTCCACTATAAAATTGTACTACAGAATAATGATTTTGGCCGCGTAAGACACCTGGAACCTAGCTTAAATAATTGCCACTTTTCTCTCCCCTAAGTGGCCCTACTGGTTGTCTCCCTATACTGTGGCTAGGCAAAGCATATAATACAATGGCAGAATGATCACAAGGCATGAAACAACCCCCTTTGATTGACATGACGTCACAGACTCCCCTCAGCGGATGTGGCCTGCATAATACATCCGCCGTTAACCTTGCTTAATTTAAATGTATTTAACCACATCAAGAGCTGATGTAATAATACATTGTCAATTTAACTAGTCTGCAAACCATAAATCTGATTTGCCTACAGCACACACAAGACAAGATGAATCCAGACTATTTCACATCAGTGACCATGATTTAGTTGCAACATTTACAACCAAATGGATACCAGGTTATTAAGCAAATTTCTTCAAATTTAATTGCAACCCCC